CTTAGTTTGTCTCTTCTTATTTATTGTCTTAAGCTAAACATGTTTTTTTAAACCAATTTAGATCTTCAGTCACTTAGCAGCACAAGATATTCCTGATCCATCTGTATGCTTCATCCATGTGCCTTACCAGTATCCGAATCAATTGGCTAGACCCGATGAGCCATTAAGGCAGTATTTAGAAGGCAATGTAAGAAGAGTCAGCAGTCACACCATTTCCAGATCGATATCATTGTTTCTATCCGTAATACTTATTCCTTTTTTCCCTGGTATGGAATATTTTAGACCCTGAAGTAGTTTTTTGAATGTCTAGAGCTTTCAGGGTTACCCATAATGAGACTTTTTCTCGTACCGGAATCGAAGAATCTCTATAGCCACTGGCTTCCTGGCCAGTCCTGTCTGGAGGGTCACGAACTTGAGTCTGGAAATTCCGCACGTCGTTGGTCATCGATCTAAAACTAATTAGCAGTAAGTTGCACTGGCAAGCTCGAAGGCGATGGCCAGAAGGGCCGGCACAGTGGATGGAGCTAGGCTCCCGAACTGACTTTCAGGAAAGGTTTCCTGGCCGAATGGTCCCACTGTGGCACTCAACTAGTTTCCGTTATAATTGCAGCAGACACATAAATAGTAAGCTGCAATAAAATGCGAGCGGGCGGGGGCCATAAAAGAAACGGGAGGGGCAATCAAAAGTTGCTAGCACCGCTTTTGGCATAAAATAAAAGCAAAATGTTGTAAAACGATTGCAAAGTGAGATTGGAAATTACCGACACATAGACACACAGTGCTGCTAGGAAGTGTGCGCACAGCTAGCAAACACAACACACTGGCATAGATGAACGTGCAAAAATTACAACAGCCCGACATGCAAACGGTGCAGAATGAGGAGGGAGGGGTGGATGGGTGGCTGCTGGGTGGCAGACACTTTGCACATTACAATGCAATTATTTCGGGCTGCTTGAACTGGAAGCAACCACCAGTCCATGACGTGCACTGATTGCCACAGTTGTGAAGTAGCAGGCGACCACCCCGAGCTGGAGAGACCCGGGACCCGGGACCCAAGACCCCTTTCCAGGACCCACTCACACTCACACGCAGCCGAAGGGTTAACGATCGACGGAAATTAAAGCGAGGCGAAAAGGCTTCCCCATTATCCGACCTGAGCGAAGAAAGACTTCAGGCAGGCACTGTACCAGCAACTGCACTTTGAACTTGACTGACGTCCTGAATGGCTGAAGAGCGGACCAACTTGACTTACCCCGAGCCAGGCTGAACTGAACTGGATGAGCTCGGATGGGACGGCCTGAGATGGTAGCTGGGATGGCCTGGGTAAGGCTGGTCGTATCGCGTGCCCGAAATAATTTTCTGAAAATGCCTCGTTAATGTTTCTATTAACGGATTAGAGAGCGCAGCGAGCGACGGTCACGTCAATCAGGCACGAGCAGAAGAAGAACCGAGGCATATAGCTTCGCCCCTTGTTGACTTGCCATGTACGTCAGTCATCCAGTCAGTCACCCAGTCACCCGGTCAGGCAGTCAGTCAGTCAGGCAGTGCCTGATGTGGATTTGGATTATACTGCGATGATTTTCTTGCACTTTTTCAGCTTTAGTCACACGTTAGTGCGGCAGCCGTTTGTTTTTGTTGTTAGCACATTGACACGTTTTGCATAAATTTGCATTCAAATATGTCATGGCGAGTGCTCCGGGGAACGGGCCTGCGGTCTTCGTGTCTGATTGAAGGACGCTCGGCCTCAGAAGAGCCTGAAAAAGAGCTGAAATTATAATAATATCCAAGTTTGGCATGTTGCATGTAGGGCATTAGTGGAAATTGCTGATATGGAGTTTGTGCTTTAGAAGCCGGATCTGGGCGTCGGTTGATTCCAAGACCAGATTGCACTGAACTTGTTCAGATGAAGCAGGCGAGGGATGTTACCTTCCTTTATGAGCGCCATTCTAGGACCTCTTAGAGATTTGCATAGCGTTCAGATCAGGATAAACCTCTCTCTTAGAACAACCAAAGACCTTCTCTTAAAAAAGGTGTTGGGACGTAGATTCCAACTGAGCCTGATGGAATTTTGGAGAACGGGAGATCTGCCAGGGGCAGAGGTCAGTAGCAACGAGCGAAACGGAAAAGCATTTGCATACTTTTTGGCAGTTTTAAATTATTCAAAGAGAGCACACAAAAGCCGAGCAAAACGGGCACTGAAAAATGGAAGAAGGACCGCCGGAGGGGGTCAAAAGCCGAAAGGGCCAACAGTGCCGCCCAACCGTTGGCAGTGACAATTAAGCTGCACTCAAATTGCTTTCGGCCCTCTCCCTTTCCACTCGTCATTGGTTGTGCGCCCGTAAATATGCAACACGATTTTTATTTAAATGCCACTCCATTTTTAAATCAAATCCCGACACCAGGCCGCGAGCCTCTGCCCTCTGTCCTCTGCCAGCCGCTCCTCCCGTGGAGCCCGCTTTTGTTTTCCGGCTTTTCTCTCTGTTGTCCTCGGTGCTTTTAATTTTCATCTTGTTTACTTTAACGTCATTTTCAACTCTTCGGTGTTTTCTTGAGCACTTTTCGCACGCCCTTTCCCCCGGCACTCCTCTCACTACACCTACCATTGTGCCATCTCGGTCCTCGTCATTGTCGCTCGTGTGTGTCCTGCTCGTCTTGCCTGTCTCCTTAGTCTCTCCTTCGCTCCTTCGCCGCCTCGATGCTTGCTCCTTGCGCTGCTCGTGAAGTGGCACTCATCCGCACTTTTAAGCCCTACTGAATTCCTTTTATCCCTAAAATAAATATCTTCATCCACAGCAGTGTTCCGTGTTGGTTCCCCGGCTGCTGTTCCCGGTGCTCCTGGCGGCGCACTGTAGGTCCTCCAGTCAGGGCCATTGTCTGTCTACCTCTGCAGTCGCCTTTCTGCCGGCTCCTCTTCATCATCGCCTTCATACTTAAGAGCTCTAAAAGATTTTTAATAGAGTTCTCGGGCGACACTTTCGATTGTCTTTGCGTGCGACTTGTGTGGAAATTAAGCCTGAAGTGCGCAGCAGTCTCCGAGATTTCTCTTCCCCGCATTAGCATCCTCCGATTTCCCCGGTTCCGCTGTCATCTACAGTAGTCCTGCCAAGGAGGAGGACATGGCTTTCACCCCGTCCTGACCAATTGATGTAATGCTTAACCCGACTTCGTCGCCCTCGTTACCCCTTTCGCACGTCCTTCACACATACCAATGACATTATAATGATGACAATTCGAAAGGGGAAAGCCAAGGGACTCGGACAGGGGGCGGCGGCATTCGATTTTGGCTCTCGATGTCTGCTGGGGAAATCTGGAAAGCACAAAATGCCAATGAAGAAACAAAGCGAGGGAAGCAGAGCGAAATACAAATCAAATGTACCGCAAAACTGAATGAAGTCAACAAAGGATGCCAACTCCGGACTAATGGACTGGGAGACTGATAGACGGATAGAAGGAGGGGGATGGGAATGCCCCAGGGTCGAGTGAGAGTGACAAATAAATTGGCGATTCCCATGGGTACACAGCTACAGGACTGCAATCGAAGGACGGGGAGAGCTGCATTGTCAAATGCTCACTTTTCATTGTCCTTGCGTGCGGGTGTGTGGCTGTTACGAGATTGTTAAGCACATAAGTTGAAATATTCCGATTGAGTAACTTTCATTATTGCAACAACAGCGACGCAACAACAAGGAGTCAACAACAAGCGACAACAACAAAGTGCCCATTTTGTATAAATAAAACAATGACAACGATTTCAACTCATTTAAATTCTGTGCTATAATAAATTTGCCTGCATAATTTCTATAGATACGACAACCCTCCCCTCTCCCTCGGGTACCAAACACCGAACACCCTTTGCCAGGACAGGACATTGTTTAGTTTGTTTAGTGTAGACTCCAAAGTGCCTGACTGAATTTTCAATATATTTTCTGCATTTTAAATGATTTTCATGTCAGAAATTTGTGTGCATTTCCAGTCGGCCTGGGCAGTTCCGGGGGACGGCAGAGGAAGTTGGTTGGTTGTGGGTTTTTAGTTTAAGCACTCCTTCTAAATGCCAAGGCAGAGCTCTTTAAGCCGGCATTCCATGGCCCATAAGTCAATGATTGCAAATTACTGGCCGCTCGGCTGGTCTGCTCCGCATATTCCATCGGGGATCCGGGGCCAACTAATTAAAGGGCTTAAATCACGCTCTTTCCGGTGCTCTGGTGTTCGGTTGAGAGTCGTGATAACAGTCCGGGCCAGAGAAAGGACACTATTCTCCATCTAGGAGGGGGTGGAGTAGATGGCGCAGTACTGCGCTTGCTGTGATTTAATTAATTTCAATGCATAACGCCAACTCTGAAACCGGAACCCGAACTCAAAACCTAAAACCCGTAGAGCCCCGAGCCCGGGCCAGTCAAACTTGACACCAAATACCAGCTCCGAGGAACAGATAGACGCCCGGGCCAAGGGAGACGTATAGCAGGAAGCTGGCCGGGGAAACGACCATTCCGAAAGCAGACAAGAACTGAACTGGAAAATTAAATCGAGTATAATTTTTTCGGGTGACACTCTGCTTTAAATTTTGATGCCGAGAACAATAACAGTGCAACGCTGCCACCAACAACAACGGCCGGTAGGTGAGAAGGGAGCTGCCCAAAGCGACCTTTAAGCTTCCATTCTTGTACTTCTTCCCTACCCTCCTTTCTTCGGGGACGAAAACATTTTTCCGCAACATTGCGTTCTGACTTTAATTAGCATTTTTGCTTGGCAAAAGGGAAAAAGGAAAAGGGGAGAGCTAGTGAGATGTGTTTTCAGGTTTCCTACCAAAATATGTCGGCTAACTGGAAAATTTGCATTTTCTTTCAGAAGTTAGAACTTTATTTCGAGGGACTACGACAAGGAACTCGAACGACGGCGAAACTGGGCCTACCCGTCCTGTGACATTTCTTTTAAATTAACTATAAATTTTAACAGAAATAGCATAGAAGTTATCACTGACTGAGCTTACAGGAGGAATTCTGTTTTTATTGGATATAAATAAAGCTTTATTTCTGGCGAAAGGCATATTTAATATATAATACAGATTCTTTACTTGGCACCTGTTTTTTTGGGTCGCACCTCGGCTGCCTTCTTATCCGCCTCCCTCTTGGCGGCCGCCTCCTCGCGCTTCTGCCGGATTAAAGCCAATCTGGCCAAATCAGCCTTAGCCTCGGCGGTCTCTCCAGCGCCATGGAGCTTATCGTAATGCTGGCGCCCTTTTTGTTCGCGTTCCCGGCGGGATAGCTCCGGTTTGACACCGCCCTTGCCATCGGTACCGGGTCCATCATTCAATTTAATGGCCGAAAGCTTTTGTGTTACCTTCTTGGTCACCCTATTGGGATTCTCTATTTCGATGAGTGAGGCCACGCCCTTTTTGGCATTGCGAGCTTGAGATTCGGAATCACGCTCGGAAGCCTCACCAGACTCGGATGCCGAAGAGCTAGCTGCTCCTGCAGCTGATCGAGACTTTCGATTGCGGTTTACTGGAAGTCTATGAGGTACAGGCGCCTTAGCTTTGGATGAACCTGCCCCGGCACTGCCTCCAGCCTTAGTCTCGCTTTCAGCGCCCGAGCCGCTGGTCTGATCACCATCCTCCTCTGATTCCTGTCGCAATTCCTCGGGCGATGTGAATTGGCGACTGCGACCCTTGTGGTTGACGAACTTTCCTCGTGGCATGATTACCTGTCACTTCTATTTCTAATTAATTTATTTCCAGTGTTGCACAGTTCTGCCCAAAAGTGTAGCCAGAGTCTTGTCAACGAAAACCTTTTGTATTATCCTTTATCTTGCTGAGTAGCTTAATATCGTTCCTAACATTATGTAAAGATAGATGACGTAGATAAGTTTAACTAACAATTAGTCACGTAGATAAGTTTAACTAACAATTTATTTCGTTCTCCATTAAGAATTTTCATTTTTTTTTTTCAGGTGAGTGACCTTTACTACCTACTGTTTCCAGTGAGTAAGTGATTTAGTTCTTAAGTTATGACCTTGTAGTCACGACATTCTATCCAAAGTGGGGCAAAGACTTCTATTGGTTGACATTAAATTCGAGAAAAATCCCGACACTAATAGCTTCTAATGAGTGACTTACCCAGAATTTAATTTAGGTCAAGGAAACGCAAATTTCACTCAAATTACTTTTTGTCAACTGTAATTTTTGCTTTTTATTATAATTGCGGCGCTTTTAAGGAGGCTTTACTCCACTGGTGTCCTGAGGAATATCCCTGTCTTTATTATACTTTGTTGATGATATCTCACTTCTGCGTCATTTATTCGCCCAATATATTTCCTCGTCTTTTGTGCTACTCTTTCAGAAAAGTCTTTTCGTTTTGACAGTCAGTTTTTATTATTAAACTTTAAAAATATATATAAGTATGTTATATTGCCTTATTCGTGCAGAAAGGGTAATACAGCTTTGGCCTCCCTCTTTCGAAGTTCTTGATGTTTCGTCAGCTTTTCGGCCAGTGGCTCTGAGTCGTTGATTTCATTTCTGAGATGGACGCAGCGCTGTGGCTCAGTGTGATGGAAAAAGGAGGCGGCGACTTCTTGAAAACACGAAAAAAGCTAAATTTCAGGACTGCTGGGTCATTAGCGCAGGCTCCTTTACGCAATCTTCTTAAATATTTATTTCTTTATTTTGAAGGTTTCAAATCCGTGATGAGTTTTTACGAGAAGAAAAGCCACTGCCCTCATTTTGTAGTGTGAAAAATGAAGATTACCAGGCAGACTAAGAAGCTAACAAGCTGACAACCCCTTTGGCCACAAGTTGCCTCCGTTTCCAATTAAAAGTGGAACATCCCGCAACGCAAGGACCAGGACCCATAAGATTCGAATTAAGAAAACCTGTCGCAATATTTCTGTATCCTTAGGAATAAATTAACAGAAACGAATTCCCCAGCACGGCAAGGACACGCGACTTTCAACGATATTCGACAAAAGCCAAAACCGTAACAAATCGCATTTAAATTTACCTGACAAGGGGAGCAGGAACAGAAATAGAAGCAGATCCGGGCCAGGACCAACCACCGAAAAGGATGCGATAATTTATAGCGTTTCATTTGCTCGCTCGACCCCTCGCGCCCCTGTAAATTCTAATTTAAATTTCGTAGTGTGCCAGGAGCAGTGCGAATGGACTAGAATCTAGGAGGATGGGGCGAAGGGGCGGAGGGGAAACATTGCTTGGAAACAATAAAAAATATATTTTTATTTATGTGGCTTAATTTGCCGAGCGTGCAGAACATCCACGGCTACAACTACTACTCTGGCTCATTTCGAATTCATTTCCATGGCCCAGCAATCCTTCCCGAATGCGACAAAAAACACACACCAAGTGCAATTGCCCCTTGCAAGAATTTTCCAAATGTTTTACACACAAAAATGTTCATTCCCTGCTCTTTGTTGCGTACAATTAGTTTGACAACAACAATAATACGGCAGAGTGAGTGGGTAACTGCAGTCACATAAAACAAAAGCGGATGACAATTGGAAAAGGACAACGGCGGCAGGACGAGAACGGGGACAGGGACGACGACGGGGCATGTCCCTCCACCAAAGGTGACTTTTAATGCCTTTTGTGTTGGTGTTGTTGTAGATATTGCCGTGCCATTGCCGTTGCTGTTGCTGTTGATGTTGCTGTTGCTGTTGATGTTGCTGTTGTGATTGCTGCTGGTTTGTCGCAACAACAGCGAACACGTGTTAAAGGGCGAAGGGGTAACGAATTTAACCCCTTTAGTCGGAAACCTCCCCGAAGTTTTGCTGACGTACCTGCTTTGTCATGGCCTCGATTTGGTTTTGTTTTCGCTTTTTATTTTAATAGTGGAAATTATTGCACGCTACAACGCAGCCAGTGGAAAAGGCATTACTAACAAGCTGGTAAATTGCACTCGGCGCTCGCTTCTTTAAGTGCCGCCACTCCAAGCGGAAAACTCGCATGGCAGTCGGAAAAGTTCTACCTTTGGAACTTAATTTGCACATGAAGCGGCTGTCGTGAATGATCAGAAATGAGTTATTCTAAAGTCCCCCGCTCTGGTAGTTTTACTCAAAGTTGGAGTTGTCATCCCGTAATCCCATTTACCTTCTGCCACTTCTCACTGATTGTTTCGCTTCAACGACCAACCGCTTTGTGCCACCTCCCCACCTCTCCACCTCGCCATCTCCTTATGGCACTATAACAATTGAAAAACTGTTGTAATAACAGAACTTTTCTAATCAACCTGCTGGACATACAAGGGCAGCGGGCAGCTCCCTGGACGTCCACCAGCTACCCAGCTGATGCCATGTAAGTTTATTAAAATTATGTCCTGCAGATATTTGCAGACACTCGTCGTGAGAACTCCGGGGCAGTGGCAGTGGATGGATTGGATTGTATCGGAATCAAATGGAACGAACTAATGTCCAAGATGACAATGGGACTGGAAAGCATTACGGACTAAGCCGTGCGCGGGGGTCAGTGGGAAAACTGTCGAGGCAAACAAAATAAAAACTCAGATGGGAGCGAGGGCCTTGAAGGAGCGAGGGCGGCGGAGCAAGGGCGTCAAGCTGACAAATCAAGCAAAGGGTAGGCGTGTGTGGGTGGAATCCACCTAGCCCGCTTCCACCTCCTATCAAATGAAAATGCATATATTTATAAAGCAAATGACAAAAGTCCCAAGTGCCACGGCTAGGACAGGAGCAACAGGATGTCTCCGTATCCGCCTGTGTATCGAGGTCTGCATCTCAGTCTCCATCTCCATCTCCATCTCCCATCGCCATCTTCTTTGGCAAGAGTATCGCTAGCCATCTCCTCATGTATCCGTATCGCGTACATGGCACAAATGCAAAACTGCATTTGCGTTCTGCTGTCTAACTAGTTACCTATTGGCAGGACACACACAGCCAGCCAGGACAGTCCCCTCCAGTCTTGTAGCTGTTGGCAATTTTATTGACAACCCAACAGCCGGGTGGGTGGCCAGGCGGGGCCAACCCTTTTTGCTCCGCTACTCCAACTGATGCTGATTCTGGGGCCGACGTCGACGCCGGCTGGAGGGGTTCGGTTGCATTTTGTGACAATGTTTATTTAGATTTTGCTGCTGCCAATTGCTGACATTGCAATTTCTATTCCTGCCAGGGACAAACACGCACACTCGTAGATAAACACACTCCCAGATGTGCTGCGTGTGCAAAGCGCAGCGTTGCATTTCATTATACACTGGGAAAAAGTGCTGTGTTCCCCTTGATTAGCGACTGGGATCTACTGCACAGTTTTTCTGAATCTTACTAGTGAGCGGAATACCCGGCTATATATGCTTAATATGAATCACTCGCTCGCTTTTCCAAGTACCTCTGGGTATCCAAGTGCAGCTGCCACTGCGGCCGTGTGTGTTGTACTTTTTGGCATTTTAATTTCAAATTGTCAATTGGATTTAAGTACGTTCGACAGCAACAGCGCCAGAAGAGCATGTGTGGGCTGTGGGCTGGCTGACAGAGCTGTGATTGCCTTCATCGCTCCCCCAGCGCAAATTTCGGAAATTGTTTGGCCATTATCAGGCCAGGGAAACCACAGCTCTCGCTGGAAGCTTGAGGAGACTCCGCTTTATTGGCAGACTTTTGCGGCCATAAAATCTGATTTTAAAATGTGTCAAATGTGTTTTAAATGTGACGCAATTCGATTTTGCCTTTGCCTCGGAATAAGACAAGATTTCTCCAGCATCTGGTGGGGAGTTTAATCGATGCGGCTTCTAGGGACCACCTGATTCACTCACCCCGCGTTTGCTAAAATGAAGTTAATCATATTTGGCCAGCTAACCTGCTGGCGTCAAATTACGGCGAACAAATGTTTTGTTAGCCTGCCAACCAATCGCCAATCAACGGTCGATGCCGAATCATAATTTTGACTTTCGAGTCGAGTTTTTCCAGCTGCGGTGCCAGAGCATTTCGATTTGAATTGGCGCTTTGATTACTGCTGGAACAGAGCCCATACTGACTGTGCCACTGACTGCGTCGATTTTGTTGCAATTACTCGCACCAAATGATTTCAGTATCCAATCATTTGCTGCCTGCATCCCGATGATAATCGTCTGCCCTTCGGCCAGGGAGCGGAGTACTTGCAATTAGTGTCGATTAGCGTCGTTTTTAGTTATTGCGGCAAATGTTTATGCAGTAGCTAGGAACACAATGGACGAGTGGCGGCTACACTGTTCTTCTCATTTCCATTCCCAGCACATCTTCCGCCCCCGAACACACCTGCGCCTAGTTATTCCAGCTATTCTGTGATCTATTCCCAAAATTAAAATACCTCCGACCCCACCCTGGTCAAGTGCACTCATTATATATGCCAGCGGCATGCCGAGCAGCTGACGCAGGAGCTGGAAGGATGCGGATTTAAGGGTTTCGATGTTTCGGAGTCTCGGGGAACCCTTGGTGGGAAATGCGAAAAATATGCGCACTAGGACAAGCTGCTTGCCTTGGCCCGACCCTCGCCACTTCACCATTTGCCACGCAATCCGAAAACTTGCAAAAAGGCGTTGGCAGGGGACAATAGCGAAGGATATTTTGCAAACAAATAATAAAAATCCAATTTTACATTTAATCACGCGCTCAGTCAAACAAAAAAGAGGGGTCTGAAAAAGGCAGAAGTAAACTTTCGACAACGGCTGCCGTGCCGTGTTGTCGCCCAAAGGACGAGCTCGAGCATCAACCCTCCACGCCGCTTCGCATCGCTCATCCATT